TGTGTTGGGTTTGTGGTGTGATCACATTTTTGGGTTGTGAGTGGTATGTGTATGTGGTTGTGTCATCTTCACAGGTACACACTCATGATCCATTAGTAAGTGTGTTTGTTTGGTTGTGTGGTGTGTGTGTGTAGTTTTGTTTTTTTTATTATTATATATAGTATTATATTTATTAATATATTCTATACTTATGTATAATTATATTTTTATATTTTAATTTTTATTATATGATATCTATATTATTTTATATTTTTATTTTATATTATATTTTTATATTTTTTTTTATTTTTTATATTTATTATTTTGTTGTTTGTATGTTAGTGTATTTTTTTTTTTGTATTTTGATTATATTATTTTTTTATTTATATATATTATTATTCTATATATTTATTATATTATTATATTTATTATAGGTTATTTTATTTTTTTATTATATATTTATATCTTTTGATATATATTTATAATCTTTATATTTTTTCATATATTATATTATTTATTCCATATTATATATTATTTATATTTATATTATATATATTATCATATTATATTATATTACTAATTTAGGTATATTATTGCATATTAATATTTATATTTATTTATTTTTATATTTTATACTATTATAGTACTATATATATATTAGTTATATTTATATATTATTTAGTTAGGATATAATATTATGTATATATTAATTATATATATATATATTATATATTATAAGCATTCATCTATATTATTATATATTAATATTTGATTATTGATTATATATATATATATATATATTATATTATATTTATATTATTTATTTATATATATACTATTTTAGTATTTATTATATATATTAGTTATATATTATATTTAGTGTGTAGTTGTAGTTTGATATGGGTATCTATGTTTAGTATATGGATGTGCAGGTTTTGAGTGTAGGGTAATAGTGGTAGCGATGTTAGGTAGATTTGCGTATTTGATTTGTTGGGTTGTCATCATATAGTATTTAGGATTTTAATATAGTTAGGTTAGCTGTATGGTGAGGTAGTTTTGTGATGGATTGCGGGGTTATGGGTTTGGGGGAGGTATTATTTTTTATATGTTATTATTGATAGTTTGTATGCTGTATGTTTTATTTTTTTGTTGTGTGTAGTATGTGTGTTGTTGTTGTGTATGTGTTGAGTGGTGTGGTTGTAGAGGTTTATTATGGTTGTGTTGTGTGTTGGTTGTATTATATTTATGTATATTTATATTTTGTACATATATGTATATTATATGTTATATATTATTGTAATATATATATATATAATGTATATTTATATAATATATAATATGTTTATTTTTTCATTGTATAATTATATTAATTATATTATATATAGTTTTTTGTACATATATATATATTTTTTTATATATTGTTATACACACATATATTATATTATTATTATATCATATTTATTATTTAATAATCATTATGTATGTATGTTATATTTATTTTATAACATATTATATTTATCATATTATATTTACTTATATTATATTATTTTATATATAATTATTCATTTTATTTATATTATCCATAGTATATATATATTTTTATATAATTAGCATATATTATTTTCTATATATTACATATTATATTATGTTTTTTTATATAATATAAATTATTGTAGTTATTGTATATTTCTGTATATAATATATTCGTGTATATTCATATATATTATATATTATTATTTATTATATTTTTATATTATTATATATAATTGTTTTAATTTAATTATATGCATTTTATTAATTTTACATCATTTTAATATATACATACATAATATATATCATTATATTTATATATTATATTATTATTATATTATTAATAATATATATATATATATTATATTAATTTTTATGTTTGTGTGTACATACACCCCACTTAAATTCACACACACATCCACAACAATATATTATATTATATTATTATTATATATATATATTATTATAATTATATATAATTTTATTTATATTATAATATATAACTTTATATTATATTATACTATATATATTTTTTATTAGTATATATTGATAGCATATATATATATTATAGTATATATTATTAATCCATATTATAATATATATTTATATTATTAGTACATATTCATATTACTTATATTATATAGTATTATATCTAATTATATATATATAAATATTAAGTATATTATATATTATTATGTTTTATTATAGTGTATTATTATTTATATTTATATTATTGATATCCATATTTATATATATATTGCTGATAATTATCTATTATTTTTTCATATTATTATATCTTTTATTATATTATGTATTATCATCTTATAAGTATATTATTATTATATGTATATTACTATATTTTTTTATTTTATATGTATACAAGTAATTTATTTATTTTTGGTGTGTGATGTGTAGTGTTGATTATTGATTTGTGTGTTGGTGGTGGTGTTTGTTTGTTAGTTGTGGTGTTGTTGTGTTTGTGTTGATGTGTGTGTTAGTTGTGTGTTAGTGTGATTGTGTTATGGTGTGTGTGTAGTTGTTGTGTGTGTTTATGTTTGTTGATTGTTTGTGTTGTTATTGTGTTAGTGATGTGTTTGTATTGTGTGTGTGTGGTGTTGAGTGGTATACTATGTTGTATCACTATTGTTTTATATGTTATGGTATTTGTTTTTTATTAATAACACTCCTAAATACACTATATTCACTATATAAATACCATCTATAAGCTCCTAAAATTACTTTTTATATATGTATATTTTATATATTATAATATATGTAATTATATTGTAATTTGTATTATACTTTTGTATTTATATTGTATTATATTTTATTTTTTTTATTTAAATATATATAAATTAATTATATTATATATATTATCTGTTTTTAGTATTGTATATAAATGTATATTATTGTTAGTATATATTTTATATACGTATTTGTATATTTTTATTTTCTTTATATGCATATATAATTATTTATTTTATATTATTTTATTTGTAATATTATTTGTTATTTAGTATATCTATGTTAATTTTTATTATTATGATATATATAGTAATTATTTTTAGTATATATATACATGTATTTATATATTATTTTTATTATTATATATATTTATATTATAGTTTATATATATGTAGTGGCATGTGGTTATGGATAAGTAGGTAGGGATGAGACCGGGAAGATTATAAATAGTATCTATATACGGTATTAGTTTATATTGTATATATAATGGTATTATAGATTAGGTGGATAGGGGTAGGGGTAGATATGGGTATAGGGGGTAGTTTGATGTAAATAGATAAGTATTAGTATTCAGTATAGTTGTATTATTAGCACGTGTAAATTTTGTTTCTTTGTATT